CTTCAGAGCGTGGGTCTCTAGGTGTTAGATAAAACTTCAGTCCTAGTCATCGTTGTTCTGGTGAGATTCATTCAGTGATGCTTCTGGCTGGATGTAGGAAAACGGGCAAGTGTTGTACCTAGACGATTGCTGTTCAAGAAATTGTCTAAACAGATCCTGGGCTTTGTTTTTAGGCCTCTTAAAAATAGTCTAGTTCATGCTTAGAGTTAACTTAGGGAAGTATTTCCCTGAATAGGACTGAACCTGGGCCTCCACACTTCTGTCTGTACTATAAATAATTTATATCAGCCAGACTGTTGTTTCTGTCCCAGTTAATCTTTCCATTATTTAATCTGTATTCAAATTGTCTTTTGATTTCTGCTAAATGTCCTGGGTTGGTATCACACAACTTTCACAGAAGAGACCTGTGTAGTTCTTCAAAACATCTAGGCTCTTCTTTTTAAATCCTTCCTCATCTTTCCATATATGTAAACATACCTGCTAAAAGAAGCCCATGTAAATATAAGAGGAGAAAGTAAATTACCTATACATATTTAGTTTAGTTGCTACTGATCAAGCAACCTGATGGCTGTAGCAGGAGTAGCTGCGACCAGATGTTAAAACCCTCAAGTGTTGAGAAGTACAGCGTGGGGTGAGCTCTGGGGGCGCTTCCGAGGAAGGCTATAGGAAACTCTTTCAGTCTTAACTCTTTGAGTCTTAAACCTCCTTTCTGGGAAGGATTGGGAGCTTCGTTGACTATGAGGTACTTGGTCACTACAGGTCACACAAGCCTTTGCAGTTCCTCATCAGTGTTCGTACCCGTGTCCTGCTGTTGCGGCTCCCTCGGAGCCAGGCGTGCATCAGTCACATCTCTGAGGGACCTTTAGAAACCTCAGGGTGCCTTCCTGAAGATCCTGGTTATCCCGTCAGTTTTCTGCCATTGGATAGAAAAGACATGTTGGGTATGGCTCCAGAGAGGTTTGGGGCTAATTCATTATTGAATTTAGCCGATTTAACTCCATTACATTTAATTGTATTTTAGAAGCCCATGGCTGAGGATCTTCCTTAAGGGTTGGAAATTATTACAATAACCCTGTAGGGCTGAAAACTGTGTTGTTGCAGGAATTAACCTTTGTTTGTGCCATGCTGTCAGAAAACTGGACGATCATGAACAAAGACTGCTGGATACTTAGTCAGCTGAATTCCTTTTGTGTGAACGATCCTGCTCTTACTAAAGAGTTCCTCAGTATAATCTGTGAAGGAATTTAAGTCGCTGCATCTCTGTTAGATGATTTACTGAAAGAGCTACTACAGCAAAACTCACTCAGGTTTTATTGAGGAAATCCTAAGAAATATTGTAACCTTGGTCTTTTAACTTGGAGGTTAAACTATCTCAGGTAATTCAGAAATTCTTTTCCAAGAAAGAGGCTAGTTTGGAAGATTATTTAATAAGTATTACATGTTTGAGGACAAACCCTGTTAAAAAAATAAAAACAAAGAGAAGAGTTAGGTGAGATGTTCTACAAAGTGTTCTTAGTTCATTTAAAAACAGTAATAAAAATCAAGTCCAAGAGAATTCTGCCAAGTTATGGACTTGAAAGCAGTGGAAGAAGATCACTTCTGTATATGAGGAAGGTGTTTGACCCTACAGTAGACATGCTGAAGAAGTCCCTTTCAGGTTTTCCTAAATTCTTGGCACCTAAAAGGATAATAATATTTTACCAGATGGAAAGCATGTTTAGGTGCAGTCTCAATATTTTTATCTTCAGGTAAAAGGTCTTCTGTCAGTTCACAGGCAGGGGTAGCCTGCTTATTTCTCAGGGAATCAAAAGTGAGCAAGTGATTCTGAATATGTCAAGTATATTGTCCTGTGCAGTCAAACCTGTGGACCTAGTTCATTTTCACCTAGAGAGAATAGGTCCAAAGTATTACAGATCTTAAATTTGCAGTTAATGAACAAATTGATTTTGTATAGTCAACTAGTGTCAATGAAGCATAAATCCAGGTCTTAAAGCTTACCAATCTACTTCCAAATTATGTAATAGCACATAAGATTGCAAGATGTTTTATTCTTGTTAAATTCAGCGGGGCCAGGGGTTATTCTTAAAAGACTTTTTTTCCTTTTGACTCCATACCATGAAGTACAGCCATGTTCTCTCACAGCAGCACAGCGTGTAGGTCACAATGTTAGTCAGGCTTGCACAACATAGCTCTTGTGATGGGAAGGGTTTCAGGGCTGGGGAGATGCAAGAACAGCCTCCAGACTACCCAGAACTTCAGAGGAAAAAACCTAGCCTACACCTGCAGTGGTCTCTTGGCTACCCAGTTTCCCTGCTTCCCCAAGATCTCCGCTGTCGGGGGCTCCTCACGATACTTCAGCCTCCTGAAGAGAAAGGAATTAATTTCATCGTCAGGATATAAATTCATAGTCCTTTTTGTGCTACTGACTGCAATACCTGTTGTTCTTGCTGCTCTTTGGACAGCTGATCAAGGCCAGACTGATTCTTCCCTACCATTAAAAATGGTACATGCTTTCATATGTGTTTATAGTGCTTTAAAAATAATAGCTCCAAACCAATTTGGGTTTGTAGCCTGCGTGCAGATGCATGTTAATGGCAAAAACCAGGAATCACATCAAGAGCATAACTGCCTTCAGGCTTCTAATTAAATAGCCTTAAAGTAGCCATCTGCAGATACTTTAAAAAGAAATTGCACAAAAATATTAACTCCTTAGTTGTCGTTGAAACTGGAAATCTCAAATTATATACACATTCAAATGCTGCAGTGGTGATTGTTTTATGAGGCGGGAGTCTGGTTCCTGGAGTTACGTGTTCTTTCCCTTTTTTCATTTTTGAGACTTCTTTCCTCCTTTAAAGTCCCAATGGGATCTTAAAAATTCTAATTGGTGCTAACTCAAAAACGTGCATGTCCGAGTCTGTTGTAAGATGCATTTCTTCTCTGGCCAGCTGGTGTGGTTGCTTTTTTTAAAAATACATCTCTATTAATAAAAACTGCACAAGGGAAGAGTATAGAGGGGCAAACGAGAAAATAATATGATATTCTCTGTATGAGTCCATTGGTGACCTTGTGCAGTCCCGCCTGTGCTTTGGGCTTTCTGTCCTGAAAAAGGCAGCCCTAAGGGGAAGATGCAGATAAAAAGAAAAGCAACAAGGAGACCTTCAGTACATAGCATCCGTGATATGAAGGGATTTAAAATGGATTAGGAATCTTCAGCTTGAAAAAACGGTGACTGAAGGAGAGTGATAATATATGCGAGTTACAAAGAGGTTGGTTATCATGGGGGTATGGGGGCAACCAAGGAATTGACTGATTCAGCTGCGAGTCTGAAACGACTGCAGAGAGTTCTGTTTCTAAACGCAAGAGAGCCTTTTGTTGCAGACCGTGTGTGTCAGTGGGTTCAGGAGCAGTTAACCAAGGTAACAATAGAGCAGTCATGGTGACGAGGAGAAGTAATGGTCTGGCTGCACATTCCATCTCCGGAATTTCCATCTCTGCCAGGTCCCAGAAGGTGCGAAGGTTCACCTGGGGAAGAAACCACTGGGTATCCACCTCCTCCTCCTCCTCTTCTTCTCCCTAAAGCTGCGCCACAGTTGCAGCTGGAGCTGGAGCAGACGATCAGGCGGAGCCTGGCCCTGACTCACGCTCGTTATTTTGATGTTCTGTGTGCAGTGCAGTCCTTAACAGCTAACTGTAAAGATCGTTTTAATTGAAAATATGATTAACCAGAAAAAGCAAATGGGTGTGAGTCCTTTTCGCTTTCTTGTGGGCTTTTTAAATAGTCTTAAATTCCTCCAGAAGTCAGCTTAGACTTTGTTTACTTCTCTTTTCAGCCTTGCCTTAGGATATAATGTCAATGGGAAAGTAGAGCCCATTTATTATGAATGTAGGAGAATTGCAGTAGGTAATTAGAGAAAAACTTTTTTTTTTTTTGGCTGGAGGATTTAGATGAAAGAAAAAGTGATTTAACACAATTTCATATGATTTGTGCGAAGTTACCTGAAGTCTGACTGAAATTTTCAGTTAATTGTATTTTGTTTCTAAAAATAAAAATAAAGGAAAAGTAATTTTGCATGTTTCAGTAGCAGAAAGAGTAGCTTCAGGTAATTTTTTTTAATAGCATAATCAAAAACACAATTATGTTATATGTAAATCCTAATGCTGGGGTGATGGTAGCAACCTTGAGAATCAATGTATATGTATGGGTTTATTACTGAATGTATATTTAAATGCAAAAATTGCTTGAAATGGATTCTTTTCTGGGAAAGGTTTTGTAGCCACGTTTTCACTCAGGTAGTTTTTTTATGAAAGACCTGTACCATGTTAAAGAAATGTCATTGTTTTAACAAAAGACGAAAAAAATCCTCAGGGATAGGGAATGTTCAGTTCCTGAACTTACCTTAAACTAAGCTGTCCAGAGGAATATTTTTTTCTGAACAAATCTTCATTGCAACTTTTATTTTTAATCTTCTTGACCACATCCTATCCCCCCAAAAAACAGTTAGGAAAGTGTTAAAGAAGCTTTACCAGATCAAAGTTTATGCATTGTATTACCTGGCCATGCATTCTTCAAACTGTACATGATTGGTGGAATAATATAATTAAGTTTATAGTGGATGATGAAATTCATGAAAGTGTTTCTTCAGTAGGCTGGTCATTGGCTGCGGATGGTCTCTGATGATTCTGCTGTGGTTACTGTGTTTATAATCATTGTGTTTATTTTCTTTCCTTTAGTGCATGGTTCTTCTCTCTCTTTGGTGTCCAGTACGTCATCTATTTATTCAACAGTGAGTATAATGAAATGAATAATTTGAGTTTACTAATCAAGATTATCAGATTGACTGGTCTTATCATGCTTATTATTTTTGCTGTTCAAGGAGAAGAAGAAAAACCCACTTTTGATTATGCTCTGGATACTCTACATAATGGTGTCTGTGGATATTTACCAGTATCCTCATTTTAAGCACAGATATTAATGGCCTAAAAGCAGTAATTTATTTTTGAGTCAGTATTTTACAACTACACTAAAAAAATTGTGCTACAAAGGTCCTCAGTAGGTCTGAGGACATTTGAATTTCATTACCTGAAGCACCCCAAAATTTGCTGAATAAAGTTAAAGTTATTCCAGCCTTGTATTAATGATTTGCTTCTAAAGAAGTGTGAGTTAGTTTTGAATGCCCAGATTTTAATGATTCTAAAGAAGCCATTTGTTCACTATGTCAGCAATACATATTTATTTAGGTTATCTGATCCTAAAATAAGGCTTACCTGAGTTGTTTGGGGATTTTGTCGGTTTATTTTAATGTGTGTGGCGTTTGCTTGTTTTCTTCTAATGGTCTCATGAAGGATTTTCCATTTAAACATATACTATGGAAAACCTTGTAAGAGAAGACTGTACCTGTGCTGGAATGGGGAGGTGACCCTGCCCTGCCTCGTGTCCCTGTTACCTGCAGCTGCCCCGGGGCACTGCAGGCTCCAGCCCACACAGAAATACTTGGCACAGATGGTTCAATCCCAGTGGCTTTGCTGCAGTTAATATCCCAGCTAGCCAAATTAAAGGTGGATCAGGTATTCCTGGCATGCTATGATCACAGTTTTGGGGCTTTCTTAAAGCACAACCCTTGTAAACAAACAGTCGATAATCATTTCTTCAGTAAGCTGTGTTAATTGAACAGGATCTTTGATTTCAAATTGCTGTGCAAGTATGATGCAGCTTCACACGTACCACACATCCACGGCTGGAAGAAGCACATGTGATACGAGAGTATGTGGAAGAACTTGCTCTTGGAAGATTGCGTGCAATTGTCTGTGAAGTCTGTCAAGTCAGCATAGTGCTATTTAGTATTATTTCACTACATGCTTTGCTGTTAGGAGGTGTAACATGGCCTTAAGACCTCAATAATAAATTTTATAATACAGCCTTTCATTACTGACCTTGGCCTCAAGCAAGGTCCGTATGAAGCCAAAACAGATAACGTGTTGGAGAACAGACCTTTTCCTCTGGGCTGTTGTTTATAACCCCAAGAGCCACAACGAGAGAACTCAGCAGCTGCTGCCCGAGCTTCTGGTTTATGCGCTTGCTGCCCGAGCGCGAGTGGCTCTTAATAGTGTGGTTTGATGGGTATAATTTTCATGGTGAGCATGTTTACATAGGGATGGTGGAGTGTGTAACTTCCTGCCATGTGCTTCTCTTTGGTCAATAAGTTTGGCTAGAAACAAGCCATAGGAGCCACAGTTTTATCATGCAGACCACAACGAATGGTCAGTACATCCATTTTGCAGCCCCAGATAACCGCTTGGGCATCTTCACGTTTTCGTCACCACAGTCACTGGGCAGCACCAAAGCAGGAGGGATTTTTTTCTTTTTTTCCCCCCACATCACTTTAGAATGCAAAAACACGATCTCCATCCACTGGAGAGTTGAGCATGGGAGGAAGGGAGTTGCCGAGGACCAGCTGTGTTCGCTGACGAGTTCTGGTTCTTCAGAGCCTCGTGCGATCCCTTGTGCGCAGAGCCAGGACTTCACCGTCCTCAGCTCAGGCTCAGGGGTGCACTGCTGGAGCCCAAATTCCTTCCTGCAGGAAGAAGTACTGTACAAGCAGCCTGCTTTCTTCTTCCTCAAGAGTAAACGAATTAGGAGCTTATTTTAGATTGAATGTGGATGTGGGAATACAAAATAAGGAATTAGAGTTATTGAAACAGCGACAAAAAAAATCAAGAAAAACCTGTAGTTTTTTAAAGTTGCAAGGCTGGTTATGTTGTAATAACCTCATGTATTTTCCTCTGGTTTTTTTTATAGCCTGAAGAGAAGTGCCAATCAGAGGTAAGAGCACACAATGTTTGACAGGCATAAATGTTCTGTCAAGACACCATGCATTTCGTGTCTTGCTATTTTATTTCTCCGTATTATGGTGTGCAGTAAAGCGCTTTCTTAAAATCTATAGATTCGCAAGCTACGAAGAGAGTTGGATGCATCCCAAGAAAAAGTGTCGGCTCTGACAACTCAGTTGACTGCCAATGTGAGTACGACTCAGAGAACAAACACTAACACGGAATGCTTTTAGTGCACCAGTTACCACCTCAGTTTTTGTGTGTGACAGAAGGATTTCATGTGTAGAACATTCAGCTCACATTACCTATGTGTTTAAAAAAAAAACCCACATGCATGCGGGACCCTTCCAAAAATAACATCTTCTGTCCTCGTGAATTGTCTTATGCCTTTCTTTAAATACTCTTGTAATATTTATTTGGCTTTATATACCTTTAAAGCAATTTCAGATCTTGAGAAAATCACTGAAGATGGCGTCTATTTTTACAAACAGTGCCTTGCTGTGACGTTTGGGTGGGATGAGATAGAGGTGAAGGTTATAATGGGTAGGAATAAGGTTAAAATGGGTAGGAATGGGTAGGAATAGAAGCGTGGATTGAAATGCATTGTATTTTGCTGTTGCATAAAGATGTGGGCTAATGGCATGGTAGGTAATAGTGACATAAAGGGCTCTAAGAACTTATTTGAACTTATGCGTAAATAGGGGACATACCTGATTTTTAGCCAGTATAGATAGTGCTTCTGGTTGTTTCCTCTGAGGAATGTGATGACTGTGTAACGTAAGACACTTGGAAAAAAAAGACTTGGAGGGCCAGGAGGTGTTGAGGCAACACTATATGTGACCCTGCGCAAGTTTATTTGTGTGTTCTGTGCTGTAGTCACCGATAGCAGAAATCTGCAAAACAGAAGCTTGCTAGAAAAATAAGCAATTCTAGAGTAAATAAGCTACAGACGAATAGTCATCAGATGTAATCATACCAACATCCTGGTTTGTGGGAGTGAATAAACATCAGAACGAGGGCTGCTAAAGAGGACATTCCTGTCCATCAGCTCTCTGAATAGGTGGAATATGAAACTTGGCAGAGCAAAGAACAGCTCGTGTCTGAGCGGCAGCACCTCGCTTGAGGGTTTGTAGGGGAAATTTTCTGCAGCGTCCACTGCAGGCACGGCAGTGCTTCACCCAGCCTGCGAAACAGGAAAGGAAAACCAGGCACAGAGTTAATACAGAAGTCAAATCAAAGAGCTTTGACTGCGTGTAACTACTCGGTCACCTTCCCAAGAGGAAAAGAAAAAATAAATCTAAATCATCCAAAAACTGAGTCTTATCTTGGCCTTTCAAATACAGAGGGGACTGGATACTTGAGTTGGTTTTCATCCAGAAGCATCTTTTGCATGTGAGAAAGCAGGACCAGATTCTCTTGGGTGCGTTTTGTGACTGGTTACTGCCATGGCCTTTGCAGAGAGTAGTTTTCAACAGCTGCTGCAGCTGTTGTTTGGTTTGGGGTCATTTGGTGGTTCTCCCCCCAAAGGAAAAAAACACAAAATTTTGCATTATTTGTTCTTTTTATAATATTCCATTTTTCTTCATTCACTTCATTAAAATTTTATAGTTTTTTGTTAGTGCTATTAAAACTTATTGGCCTTGGACATACCCCTTATTCGTCCATAAATCAGCATCTGTCTGCTGCGGAGATATTGCTGGAACTATTCTAGTTATGTATTTCCGTCTACAGCTACCTCTTTTCAGAGAACATCCTCTTTTTCCATGTAAAAGGCCAGGCCTGTTTTCAAAAATGTTAAGGCATAAATGCTGTTTATTAGGACACTGCTTTATGGACATTTCCTTTACAGAAGATTTTCTATTTGTTTTAATTAATCTATTAAATTTATTAATTTTTTTTCCCAAATTTTCCTGTATAGACACTGCAATTTCGATGCTTCCTAAGCCATCAGGGGCAAGGATTTGAGCAGATTGCACTCCCAGCTAGGAAATGGAGACAACTCTTTTCTATAGCTCACCGAGTAATTTCCAGATAGGAATAATTTCAGGGTTACTGATCTGGTTTTCAAAAAGCAACTGTTCCCTAAAGTTCAGTTTGAAGCATTAATGATTTGTATCCCATTATTAATCCATGTGGTCCTGCCTGCCCATTTGTTTTTGCTTTTGCAAAGTATTGCTGAGGATTCCAGAATATCAGTTTTGCTGTTCCCTGTTCATCCCCCGTAACAGAAGCTTTGCAGTCTGTGTTTTTAAAGTAAATATTTAGCTTTTCATACATGTGTAGCATGAGAGTTTAAATTACTTTTTGCTGTTTTCTCACAGTCTCAGCTCTGCTTATTTTCATAGTGACTGATGAGAATGAGAGATGCACATCCTGGCGTTATTGTACTGCTCATGTTTGTTTTCACTGCGAATGTGAGAACAGTTATTTAGGATAAGTCAGCTGTGTGCTGCTGCTGAGTAAGTCTGGAATAGCTCTGTGAAAGGTTTTGCTATTCTGTATGTATTTAGGTGAGGGAACGTCCTTTTCCGCTTGGATTTTATTGTTTTACTTGTCGTCGTGTGTATGGAACATGGCTGGGTAGCCAGAGACATCCTGCCATGCCTCTTTGGTATTAGGAATACTTTCAGGTAACAGGGTGTGTTCGCTCAAGCATCCTTTAAAAGCCTCAGTTCCTTAATCTCCATGAGATGTTTCACCAAAAAATTGAATCTAACATGTCCTTCTATTTCAACAAAGCGGCAAAAAGTGTTTTCCATTTATCATAAAATCTAAGCAGCTCTAAACAATTGAGAAAAGCACGTAAAACAGGATTAGCCTGAGATGTGGCTCCTCAGAGGACCTTAACTCCTCAGGACCCAGGAGGTGGTTTTGTTCTCAAGGTATTCTGGATGCAGGATTGCACAGTGTACAGAATAAGCAAGAATTGCAAACTGGAGAAAAATCCTGGCTTGCTGCTTTATTAGAGTATGTGTGAGGTAACTGCCCTGGCTGTTTGAGATCAGGGTATCTAAGCAGCTGAATAGGGGCCGCCTTCAGGAAATCTGCTGCTGTGCCAGGTCACCGTGTTGCTCCTACGTCTGCATATTGTGAAGCGTTTGGAAACAGCTGCTGCCGAGCAGGGCACAGTTCATCACCTAAAACTGCATAATTTCATAGTGTGCTGCTGGTAATAGTTGTACAGGAAAGGGCCGTCATCTTGTAGAATTTTGAAATTGGTTTCTTACCTTTGGCATTTCTAATTTTCCACAATAGAGTGGTTTCTGCTAATTTGTTTGCGAGCATTTTCACAGCATATGCTTTATTCATTTGGCCTTTTCCAGTCAGTGTTGTTTTCTCCGTATCATTTGCACAAGTGATTCAGTGCACTACGTGGTTCATTTAAAAACCTGCAGAAATATTTTTCTATAGGGCAAGAGAGCAAACTATCTCTGTGTGGTTTAACTTTCAGGCTCACCTGGTGGCAGCATTTGAGCAGAGCCTGGGGAACATGACGATCAGACTGCAGAGTTTGACGATGACAGCAGAACAAAAGGCAAGCTTGAGAAATATTTGGGGAAGTCTTTTCTAGCACTGTTGCTCATGCTTCTTCTGTAGGCTTGGGGGAGAAAAAATAAATCATATATGCCATTTACCTTAGTTTCCTCAATTGTGGTGATGGAGTAAAAGGTAATGAAAATGGTATAAAATACTAATTTTTCATGCAGGGATGTTGTAGCATCTGATCAGATTATACCTACAAATTGTTACTTTGGACACAAGTCTTTGGTATTGCATACTTGTGCAATAGGTTTCTTCTCAATGCATCTACACATGTACGTGTTCAAGAGAGACACCAAGAAAAAACATTGCAAAATGGGTAACATTGTGTTGGTTTTTTTGGTGATATACTTGAATATACATTCTTTCTGTATTGCAGAGCATGTACTTTTTGTGTGTGTATAACAATAGCAAAGGTAGCTTGCAGCCTGTTGAGGCTCTGCCTCCCCAGGTATACCAAACCTCATTTTCATTGCCTTGTATATACATATTCCATAAACACTACCAATGCCTAGACTGAAAGGTGGTTTCTTTGCAGCAGTTAGATACCATCTGCATTTTCTAATGTATCACTTTGATTCTTTTTCTTGTTCAAGGACTCAGAACTGAACGAGCTAAGGAAGACGATTGAACTACTGAAGAAGCAAAACGCTGCTGCCCAGGCTGCCATCAATGGAGTCATCAACACACCTGAGCTCAACTGCAAAGGTGAGAAGCAGGCACCACGCATAGCGACTGTGTGATGCTCATGGGGCTTTAGTCCTCTTGGTGATAGCTGATGTAACCATCAGAGATGAGCTTGGCTTTGTGATCGTCATCTAGTGACTCGCTTTGGTATCCTGTGGGGATGTGAAGCGGGTACCTGTGTGCACAGCACAGTCAGTTCTGCAGACGTCAGTGGATGTGTTAGACACACAAGAAGCTGTTTTAAGAAAGCTTTTCCACCCTCACTGTGAGCTCATTGGATTTACTATAAGCATTTCACAATTCCCCCATCTAGATTTGGTGATGTGAAGCAGCAGGAGCAGAGTTCCTCGCTCCAGAGCCATCAGGCTCTTAGTGGTGTTTTCAGTGATTTCCAACGTGATGCCTGAACGCAGTCCTGTCTTTTCACACTCGTTCATGCTTATCGCAGTAATTTACACTGGGATAAATTATGTGTAAATGAGGTGTTGAGGGATGTGGTTTAGTGGTGGACCTGGCGTTGCTAAGTTAAAGGCTGGACTCAATGATCTACAAGCCCTTTTCCAACCTAAGTGATTCCATGATTCTAAATTTGAAGGGTCTGTGTCTGAGATTTTAATCTCCTCACGAAAAGCAAGGATTAGCAGCACTGCTTTGAAATGTGCAGTGCATCCAGTGGAGTAAGTGACTGTCAGAGTGCTTATTTCCCTAAATGCTTCTTCCAAACTGCATGATTAATACCAAACACCCTGGAGGTGTTTAAAAAAAAAGTAGATCTAGCACTTGAGGCTATGGTGCAGTGGTTAGGTATGCTGGGATGAAGGTTGGACTAGATGATCTTCAGAGGTCCCTTCCAACCCCGAACATTCTGTGATTCTGTGAAATATCAAATTCCTTACATAATTTTGACACCACCTCCATTCTTGTCCAGGACCTGGAGCTGCTCAGCCCACAGACCTGCGGATCCGCAGGCAGCACTCTTCGGATAGCGTCTCCAGTATTAACAGTGCTACCAGTCACTCCAGTGTGGGAAGCAACATCGAGAGTGATTCTAAGAAAAAGAAAAGGAAGAACTGGGTGAGTGTATTTTAACAGATTGCGGGAGGCTTAGATAAGATTGTCAGAACGTGCACAGTGAAATCTAGCTGTTCAGCTCCTCCTTCCTTCCCCTCGTGCAACAGGTCTATGCACCGTTTAAGTCCTGTGTGAATTATCTCGAAGGATGAATTGAGTCATAAGTGATGTATGTGCTTGTGTTGACCCTGCCTAGGATTGAATTTTAGCTTAACAGCCAAAAGGCCAGTCCTAAATTAGGAGTAGCTGTAAAAGATCAGTTCTGGCTAAAAGTAATACGGTGTCCAATCCCTAAGGGAACACTCAATGTCTGTCATTAAAAGTAAAACAAATCCACAGTGAGAGATCATTCTTTCTTCTTTTTTTTTTTTTTTAAATTCTATTTGGCACATAGGGCTTTCTTTCAAGTGAATGTGTTAAACGCTTTAAGAGCTCTGTTTTGACCATTGTTGTGGAGTTCTACAACAAAAAACCACCAATCTTTAGAAATTTTTCTTGATGGACATTTAGTTTGAGAGATTTCGGGATACTTACATTTCATTTCCCATTTTTCCTTCTTTGCTCATCATGTACTGTGTACAAGGTACCCTGTACTGGAGGAAAGGTACATTATATTAAACTCCCATTTTGAATTAGACCATAACTGTCTTAGTGACCTAGTCTGATTGTAGTTTGGACTAAAGTCCCTAGATCCTTTATTGTAGCCAGTAAAGCAATCCACCCCAAAAATACATCTCTCTGGATCTTTTGGGTGTGCAGAAAAGTCTGTATAGCTACAAAATGTGGTTTGAGCTGGTAAAAGCTTGATTTGTATTTGCACAATATCCTCTCCAAAATGTTTATGAAACTACTGAACTGTTAAGAAACAGCTTCATGAACAGGTTCTTGGTTTTATGTCTCTCTTTTCCCAGTGGTTTCATTCTGATATCTTGCCAGCTCCTTCATAACAGCAATATTTCCACTCTGCCCCATTGGTTGAATAGAAACAATATCGTCTCCAAATCCTTCTTTTGCTAGGTTATACAATAGTTACAGACAAAGTAAATTGCTCTCACTTGTAAATTGCCTGCTACTCTTAATTTTTGACAGAAACCATTAGAAATCATTAAGCCTTAGCTGAGATAAAGTTTCCAAATTTCTGCTTTAGCTTCTATCGTTTGTTATTGTAACCTAGTAGATATTATCCTACACTTCTCATTCATCAGGTGACTACTTTTAAAGAAAGCTAGGGAAACATCTCCATATTATAAAGAGACTTAAATATGATTTTCATGAAGTAGAAGAAACAGGACAGTATTTTTATGTTGTTAACTAAAAACTAGTACATCTTTGCTGTAAAATTAAGTTTGAAAATGAAATCAACCATTTTCTGAGAAAGTATGGAAGTCAAGTCTGATTCACACATTGTTTACTCCACAAATACTGAGGAAGTTCTCAGCCAAGATCTTTATGTATAGAAACGATGCAGCCGTCCATTCAGAGCTGAAACACCAGCATTTCATCATTTCTCACTATAGGGATCTTTGTCCAATTTAAAAGATAACTTTCAGCTCCTATTAAGCCAACTTGTTCACAGCATGTAATTTGTGATAATAGCATTAAACAGTACTGGTAGAGTATCCTCAGTTGGAAGGGACCCATGAGGGTCATCAAGTCCAAATCCAGACTCCACACAGGGCAACCTAAAAGTTAAACCATGTGTCTAAGAGCATCGTCTGCACGCTTCTTGACCGCTGGCTGTTGAACTGTAACTTTGGGATAACATCAGTTCAGTCACGTGAATATTCATTCTTTTTGTTGTTTGGAAAATGGCAATCATGTTAAGAAAGGTGATTTTAGTTGCAGGTAGGTAGAGAAGAGTCAGTCTTGTCACCTGGTGAAATACCTGCTCCTATGGGTAAAAACACAATATTAACTCGGCTGCTAGCCAAAAACATTCTGCCTGAGCTCAGTAGAAAATACAACTTCAATAGTTTAGGAGATTTGGCTCTGATATCTCCCTCACATAACACAAAAAAGGACAGCATGTTGTTTGAAACATCTGGTTTCGAAAATTACAGGATTCCAGTTCTAACATAACTGTTGATCTTCATTGATTATTGATCACGTTTGTCTTAGAAATCCAAAGCTTTCCTTATCACTGGCTTTATCTGTTAAAACATGTCTTTTTTCCTTCCCCTGCTTCCTTTTGCTTGCACTTCTTCCGGCAGGTCAACGAGGTAAGGAAGACCTACTTTCAACTATGACATACAAAGCTAACCCGTCCACTGGCATCACTAACCGTTGCAGCGTCATTAACCTTGGCTGAGCCACGAACACCATAGCTGCGAGTTGCTACAACACCACCGTAAAGCTTGGTGCACTGAACAGAATGTGCTATGAAATAGTTACCTTAAAAATAAGAAGCATTGCTATCCAGTCCCATTGACCTTATTAATCTCATAAAATAAAGACAAGAAAGCTTTTTTTCTTCTTTTTTACCGGTATTAAAGTATGTATGAGTATGGCTGTGTCCCTTGGAGTATTTGCATGTTAGAGAGTTTCTACTCTGTGGTTTTTGGGGTTTTTTTTGTTTCATTCTTAATGATGTGCTCCTTGCTGTGGTCTTGTTTTTTCAGTTACGCAGCTCCTTCAAGCAAGCTTTTGGTAAAAAGAAATCTCCCAAGTCAGCATCTTCTCACTCAGATATTGAAGAGATGACTGATTCTTCGTTACCTTCTTCACCAAAGCTACCACACCATAACTCCACTGTTTCAACACCATTGCTGAGAGCTTCCCATTCCAATTCTCTGTAAGTGCTTTTTAATTTTTAAATAGAAAGTGGAGTGGAAGGCATCTTTCTGCATTAGTAGAGAAAAGGAGAAATACCATCCTTTGGAGCAATCCAATATTTTCCATGCTAGCTTTACTGCTAGGCTACCTTTCAGAACCAATCAGAAGCAAATGTACCCTACACCACCATCCTGTCCCATTTGGTTCCTCTATATTAAGAATCTGCACATCTGTATAAACACTACAGGAGTCTGACAGATGTTCAGCCTTGTGCACTGCTAAAACCAGCTGTTCTCCATGAGGCTACAGCAGAAGACACAGTGGGCCCAACAGAGTTGTCCTGTAGACCAGGGCTGGGCTGTTGCCACTGGTCAGTCCTTCTCCCAGGCATCATGTAGGTTATCTCCCAGAGGGGGGCTGTGTTTTGGGTAAAACCCTTAATCCTGTCATACTGGGAAAAGAATGAGCAAAGCTCACACTTGCAACTGCTGCCCGTTTTGAATGTTCTGAAGTCAAAGGAGATGACAGGCAGAGGACAGAAAAGTTGGATTTGTATATTCAGGGAATTCAAGACATCTAAGCTGACTCCCAACCCAACACCTTTGCATTAGGGCCCAGTAAGCCAAAAATCATGGCACCGTCACAGTAGGATAATTCAGTATTTCATTGGCATGCTCTATCAGCAGAACACATTGAATATTGGTAAGCAGGGTGACCTTGAAGTGCAGAATTAATTGGATTTCCTGCTGTTAATGAAACTAGCCAGGCCAAGCCTGAGACTTTGTTTTCTCTTGTGGCTAAAGACAGCCCATATTGTACTAATCTGCCATGATGAGTTCCCAGTTAAGTTGACAAATTCAGATAAAATTAAGGATTTACTGGAAATCTACTCCTCTGGGTAGTACCAAGCTGTTATATAGGCTCATTTGTGTGACCAAACCTTACCCTTCTGCTTGTGTTTCTATGAGAAGGAGATGTAGACTTTACAGGGAGGACTTCTACTCTGCTGCTTAATTCATTTTGTGTCTGTGGGAAGGTCACAGGCAATCTTAAGGCTTCACTTTGACCACCTATGAGATAAATAATTGCCTTACCTTTGAGTCTAAACTCACATTTCACTCTCTGCTTGGAAAACTTTGTAAAACCAGTTTTATGTTCTACCAGTAGCTTTGTCACTTAAGTAGGATATATAAGTATAGGAAGCTATAAGAGGCAGTTTTGTGAAATGTCTGACTCCCAGACAGCCTTACGACCTTGTAGATGGCATGCAAAGCTTCCAGCCAGATTTCAGATCAAATGCATTTGTGTAAGTACCCACACTTGAAGTTTTGCACGTCGCTTGTTTTGTCACGAAGAGGTGAAAACAACAGCAGTGATTTCCAGCTGTGTAATAGCCATGAAATGTTAGGAGCGGAAGATAATCCCCTGTGAATTTTTTTTAAAGCTTCCAGTCTCTTGAGCCTCAGTCAGTGAGTTTCTGGTGACTACAGCAAATTGTGCTTTAGAAATCTAAGGCCAGAAAATTGTCAAAATATGATCCCGTCTGTCATCAGTCAAAATGCTATGTGCGCACGTCTCATCTTGACATGAAAGTCAAAAGGCTAAACTTGAGAAAAGAGTAAATACGAGAGCTGAGGGAAGACTAGAGCACCAGTAAAACTTGTGTATTTTGGCTTTTTGGTGGGGAACACCTCTCTCATTAACCTGATTTAGGGAGAGACATTTTAAATGAAATCTCCCTCAAAGCATGCAGCTGTGTAGTTGATCTTTATATAGATACACTTATGAATGTGCTGAAATGTTACTCACCCAGAGTCTTTTTTTTTTGTGGGAGGAGGGAAGAAGAAAGCCCCAAAATTTATTTAGGCATGAGTGCTTTAAAGTGAGGAGGAATTTATCACACTTGAGTAGGTGTAGAGTTCCAAAGCCCTCCAGAACAGTTCAGGGAACCCAGCTGTGCACACCTGGTGAGCTTTAAATCTGTCTGTAAACTCATCAATCTCTAACCAACTGCTGTTACTGCCTGCACTCCCTTAATTTGTTTAGATTTTTGGTTCAGAAGTTTTCTTTTATGGCAAGTACCAGGAAAAAGAATGAAAACTGTCCAATAGTAGGTGACTTCCAGAATTCTGTTTGGGATGCTGATTAAAGAAAACCCTCAGACATATTTGTTTCACTGGTCTCTAATGTTTCCATGACCTGTTTAATACCTGATTTATGCCATCACCAATGCAGTAAGCCAAAACTGTTGTCTACATTCTGCAGAAAAAAAGGGTTTTATTCCTACTCTGCTAGTAAATGCTGAAGAAGCACAATTGGAAAAGTACCAAACGGTCTCGTTCAGTGTCTGTTTTTCAACCTTCTCCAGTATTTCTGAATGCACTGACAGTGAAGCTGAAACCGTCATGCAGTTACGCAACGAGCTGAGAGACAAGGAGATGAAGCTGACTGATATTCGCCTAGAAGCCCTGAGCTCCGCGCATCAGCTTGACCAGCTTCGGGAGGCAATGAACAGAATGCAGGTAAGAAACACCCACCCCAGACACTCCGGTCTGTGTTGGTGTGTGAAAGATTGGCCGATCTGCCAATAAAGATCAGTCAAGATCTGAAAGAAGGTGAATTGGAAGTTTCGGAATGCTTACGAAAAGTTGTTTACCTTAGTGCCGGTGTTAAACCTTGCACCTTGGTTAAAAGTCAGCTTGAACACATGAATTCTGCTGCCCTCATCTCTACAGTTGTGACTGTTTCAACCCTAAATGTGTTTGGGGAGATCATTTTGTTGGCTGTCAGCAGCCTCTAATTCTCTCTGCCTTAATGTAGCTGCCTTTCAGTGTTTGGTGAATTCCCCCATATTTATGTATTCTAGGATACTTTGAGAAGTTTTATGGAGGGGACATTGTAATAGTTAAAATCATTAATTTATTCAAATAAAATATGATTAAAATGGAATTTCTGCTAAACTGCTACTTATTCTTAAGTTACTTAGATTGCTGTCTTCTAAATATGTTTTGACTGTGCCTTCTATCTCCTGGCTTGTCTTTCCAAGAGTGAGATTGAAAAATTGAAAGCAGAAAATGACCGACTGAAATCTGAAAACCATGGCAGCTGTAGCAGGGCTCAGTCTCAGGTTTCCATTTCATCGTCTCCAAGACACTCAGTGGGTGTCTCTCAACACAGCTTGAACCTCACGGAGTCAACCAGTCTCGGTGAGTTTCAGGAGAAAGGTGGCGGGCAGGTTTTATCCCGCACTTGGAAGAGTTGGTTTGGTTAGCCATGGAAAAATGAAAGCGTGAAAATTATTAACAGTTGAGGTGTGGAAATATGTCAGGAGCTGGCACAAAGCCTTCTTTTAAAATGTCGTCATAGGTCTGCTACGCCCTAGAATCCGAGTTGTCCAATTATGACCTCAGCTGCAAAGAGCCATGTTTAAAGCCATTTAATGGCAGACATTTGCCAGGGGATACATTGTAGAAAGGAAAATACGGAATAACTGACTAATACTTTTCAGTGACCTTCACTTTTTCAGAGTGATGCTGTTATTTGGTAGGAAAGTCAGTAAACCCCGTTCTTGCGGTTTTGCCTCAGGGCATGTGAAGCCCAGATGTGTTTGTGTTTGACCACAATAAATGTGTTGGCATAAACCAGAATAGTCTTTGTCGCTGTTAAGATCCAGCTGTGATGCTGTTGAGGTTTTCTGTTCACAGACATGCTGTTGGATGACACTGGAGATGGCTCAGCCCGGAAGGAAGGAGGCAGACACGTCAAAATAGTTGTCAACTTTCAGGATGAAATGAAGTGGAAGGAGGTGAGTTTTGCGACAGAAATCAGTTTTTCCTCAACAAACGTTTCACAGTCAGTGCAGCTATAGAAGAATAGAGAAATTAGGTGCCTTTTGTTATTTTTTTTTTAATCTGCCTTAGAAGTCAGAAGCAAAATTATCAACTAGAATGCTGTGATATACTGAACATAGCACACAAGTTGTTATATATAAATATATATAAAACTGTCTCTCTAACTATTTATACATATAACCATGTGCCATTTCTATATATATATTTAGATTTCTATGTCCACGGCAGCGTTTCTAGAAGTAAATAGGATAAAACTTGCAAATGCAGCATTTTTTATTGTTAAGTAATGGTAAAATGGACATGCCGTGAACTTTGCTGCCTAGAATTTTCCTGTCTTTTTGTGAAGCTGTAATCCTCTCAGAGATTTTGAATTGTTCATGGGTTGATTAATAAATACCTCTTAAGTAACATCAGTGTCACTTAAGTATCTCTTAGATTTGTGTCTCCAACACTGTAGAAAATGTTTAGTAGAAAAGGATTTCATAAACATTCAGAATTCACCATACAGAGTGGTAAAGATATAATAATAATTAAAAAAATATATATATAAAGTGCTAGCATTTTAATTACATTAAACAGACTTGTCTGATACAGTTAGGATTTATTGATTAACTTAAATTCACATTTCTGTGCACTTAGGATTCAAGGCCTCGCACCTTCCTCATAGGCTGCATTGGAGTCAGCGGCAAGACCAAATGGGATGTTCTGGATGGAGTTGTAAGACGCTTGTTTAAGGTTAGTGAGTACGATTTGCTGTGTGCTTGAGGTCTCCTGTGAGATTTTGATGTTCCCGAGTGATATTTAACCTGCGCTGATCATTGCTATTACAGCGCAGAACAAAGTCACGAGAGATTTCATTGCTGCCCGTTTTTTTCTCCCCAGGAATATATCATCCATGTGGATCCCGTGAGCCAGCTGGGGCTCAACTCAGACAGTGTTCTGGGCTACAGCATTGGAGAAATCAAACGCACTAATAGTGCAGAGACCCCCGAGCTGTTGCCCTGTGGCTATCTAGTTGGAGAAAACAACACTATTTCAGTTACCATCAAAGGTAATTATGCTTGACCTGTCTGTTGTACTCCTCGCTAATTACAGTTTTATCAAAGCTTGCTGTGTCAAGAAACTTAGAGGACTAGAAGCTTTTTTTTTTTCCTTTCTTTTTCTCATTCCTGCCTTTTATGTATTGGTTCTTATGTTTTTATTTTAAAAAGACAGCACTTAAAGTATGCTAAGTCTATAATTTCAGCAAATAATTTTTACATCGCTGAATAATTACACACACAGTAATTTTCTGTGTACCTGGAGTTGTCCTGGAGAAGATGTAATACCACAAGGGACGTAGTGGAGTTGTTTGAGCAGTGAAGTACCTTCCAGAAGAATAAAACCTCAGAATTTTACTATGTCTTTGTAACAGCTATAGTTGTTATTTCTTTCATGCAGGGTAAAAAAATTATTGATTTAACTTGATTGATAGGTCTCACTGAAGACTCCCTCCGTAGGCACCAGTAGGGTGGAATCCCAGAATTTATGGGACACCTTAAAATCTCGATTTTTTTCAAAATGTATGATTTTCAGAACTATCCTCAGTTTCATTGTATCGTACTGATAAGAACTGAATGGTTTCTCTTCTGTTTTCTCAGGGAACTGGTTTTTTATGAAACTATACTATGAAACTAGATTTGAGGGGAAAAAATCCTCAACCACTGCGTTTTGAATGTACATCAGTTTGCCCAAAGTTACTCTCAAGCACAAATGTGTGTACAGATGCTAGAGTAATTGAGAGCATTGCCAGGCATTCAACTTGGAAATTTGGTTGTGTGATGAAAAGTACTTTGATTTTGAATATTGATGTAAGAAGTCAGTTAGCTTGGGTAGCAAATCAGTGGACAGGAAGACGAAAAAAGCCGTGAAATACCTCCACTTACTGAGGCTTGATGTGAACCCAGGGTATATATAGTCCAGTAGTAGTCTGACTGAAACACTGCTTAAGGTCTAGCAGTATCTGTAGAGCTGCAATCTGATTTTATGTTTAACCTACATTGACCTGACTTGTACTTTAAAGGTTCATGTGCGATAGCAGTTTTCAGTGAAGCAGAAATGTATTTAATCAATTTATGGAAAATCACTTATATCTACCTTTGAGATATAAAGCTGCCTGTATAAATATTTAATATTCTAAGCAACCACTGAGGTGCAAACATTTCTCTGTGTGATCTGCCAACTTCCCTTTCTGCTGTTTGTTTTGAAGCAGGGTGTCTTTTCCCTGAGCCAATTCTGCCTAAAGTGACTGCTGACATTGCGTAAATGCTTATCATCAGTAGGAATTTTATGTTAGCAGAGATAACTATCAGCATTCGGAGAAGGAGTTTAATTACAAGTGTTTGGGAAAGCAGGGGGAGTTGATGATAGCTGGGGTTTTTTTGTGTGTGTGTCTAGGGATTCAAAAGTAAACAGGTAAATTGGGGATGAATGCGCATGAGTGCATAGTGAAATACTGTAAAAATGTGAAAAATGTGGCTGGGAAGCATTAGTGGGGAACTCTTGTGGGGCCTTGGACACAGCTGAGTGTTTGGAGAACAGAAAGGAGGATCCAGGCTAAGCCCACCGGTCACTTCTGCGCTGGTTTTACCACCCTTCTATGTGCTTCTTTCCACCACGGGGTACCTGAGCAGGGAAGGGATTTGTCTCTGAGGCAAGAAGCACCTCAGTCAGGTCAGATCTAAATCTGCCATTGCTAAGTGTTATTTTGGGGAGCTTTCTCCTACTCTTACTGAGCTTAAGTACATTCACAAAATCACATTTTTCAGTTCTTCGTTCAACTACCTTGTCGTTTCAACTGGTCTTGATTTTTTTTCAAACTCCAGTAACAGGATTGCTTTGCAGCCTTACAGCTACTTAGTTAAAAAAAAAACCCAACAACCCACAAAACAAACCTCAAACCTTTTACAGAGGCAGGTAATTTGGATAAAAATTTGGAAACCCTCTGAAAGAGGAATCTTTGCCTGTTGCAGGTATCCATGAGAACAGTTTGGACGGTCTGGTGTTTGAATCGCTGATCCCGAAGCCTATCCTGCAGCGTTATGTCTCTCTCCTGATGGAACACAGGCGGATTATCTTATCTGGGCCCAGTGGCACTGGTAAAACGTACCTTGCAAACCGTCTCTCCGAGTATATGGTCCTTAAAGAGGGCAGGGAGCTGGCCGATGGCATTATTGCAACATTCAACGTGGACCATAAATCCAGTAAGGTGAGGACACAGAAATCATCCTTGCACAAGTAATGCTGTCGGGTGTCACCAATGAGGGACTGCTCCTTTATTAAGCCATCAAAAGCTGATTTTAAACTTAGCTTTCTCTTTGTAGCCTTATGTTAATCCTGGCGGGAATCATATGTAAGATTTTCAGAACTGCAGATTCACCTGATTATGGGCCTGAAAGCAGGCTTCCAGGTGTATATTTAAACGCCTAAAGGTGTCACGATTTTAACATGATTAGGAGCCTGAGAATTGCCCAGGACCTTAATAAACACCTGCATAAAGTTCCCAGCAACTTCAGCAATCCCTGTTGCATGTGGGCATTTTTCCAAAAACTCTCAAATACAGTCTCTAGGCTCTCCAGAGGTTCTGCAGCTGCAAGTATTAGCAGTTGTAATCTGCATATGCTGGGTTTGGAGTCACTTACTGGTGGCCAGACCCATTCTTGGCATGTCTCTGCTTTTTCACGTGCAGCTAGTTTTGCAGAATATACCTCCAGTGACACTCCTTTTTTTTTTTTTTTTTTTTTAAATAAATGTATATTTGATTGCCTTAGACACATTTTCCTCTGGAGAAAAGGAATGGTTGAAGTTGTGATCATAGGGCACTGGTTGGTACAATATGAGCTGTGCTGCGGAATAAATGCTTTAAAGCTGCTGGAAGCATTTCAACCCTGGCAGCAGCTCATCCTTCTTTCCATACGAATTTGGCCTCTGCTGAGGGTTACTTTAGTCCAGCTGAATTTTGTCGGCTGTATTTCGATAGACACACTGTTGGAAGAAGATATAACCAAGTTATACAGAGCAAAGTTTGGTTTGGTATATAGAAAGTTGGACGATTTCTGAAAAGAAAGAAGAATACAACTCAGGCTTCTGAGTGACAGATTGGGACAGCATGAATGAAAAAAAAAACAACAAACCAAACGACAAAGTCTTTCTCTTTAGCCCTTATTTCACACAAGATTTCTGATACAGTCTTTGAACCTTCAGCATAACCTACAAAAGAGAAAGAAACCCAGATTTCTGTTTTCTCATGGAAAATGTGTGCATTTGTAACATGACAGGCTCTTTTGCTTTAGATTTCATGTCAAAGCCAGTAGCTCCATTATATTAACTGGAGTTTCAAGGAATATAATGAAAACTCTCTTTATTTTCTTTCTTTTCTTTATATGTGCTTTGCAGGAACTCCGCCAATACCTATCCAACTTGGCAGACCAGTGTAACAGTGAAAATAACGCTGTGGATATGCCTCTTGTAATCATTTTGGATAATTTGCATCATGTTAGCTCCCTAGGAGAGATCTTCAATGGACTTCTGAACTGCAAGTACCACAAATGGTAAAGAAATAACATCAGAATGCATTCCAGATTTCAGTGCTGCTGTCAGACCACCGCTGTTGCAAAGTGTGATCACAAAACCGAATTCTGAATTAATTTGGTAAAGTGGACCGAGATGACCAGACTGTCCATATTATGGACAGTACTGCAGAGGGGTTTTTTTCTTCATAAAATGACAAATTCCTGTGAAATCAGTAATAAAATAGTAGTAGAGGGCTTGGGTGATTTGTATTCATTTCAGTACTAAAACCAAATTTTTAGTGAAAAATACTGCTTTGCGATTTCTGTTTTGCTTTCAGAATTTGGTGTTCTCAAAGTCAGATCCTCATTAGAGAATCTGGTTATAAGTAACTACAATAACCTTTGGCAAAAGAGGTTTTAATAACCTTTTTCAATGTTGAGATCTTACTAAAACGTTGTTTTTAAAAATTTGCAAGTTTGATTTGATTTTTTTTTTTTTTTAATAGCCCATATATCATTGGCACAATGAACCAAGCCACCTCCTCAACACCTAATCTTCAACTTCACCATAATTTCAGGTACAGTTTGTTCATGTTTCTTATTTATGCTTGTGGGCTGGCAAACGAGTAATGGCTACTGAGTCATCTGAAATTGTTCTTATCAGCTGAAATAGCAAACTGAGAGAGAAATAGCATTTGCTGCCCTAACGTGCAGCTTTGTAATGATGCTGTTATTAAAGTAACTGCGGTTCATGGAACTTTTCAGAGGTTTAAGATACTCGATTCTCTAAAATATTTTTTAAAAGGTATAGGCAAAGCAGATACTGAGCGAGAGCTAAGCTGAAAAAGCGCACCATACAAATTGTTTCATCTGGTGACGTCATCATTCCTAAATAATTTTTGCTAAGGAACATAAGTGACTGGGATAACCCTTTTTGATTGTGATAGCTGTCTAGAAATAATGAAAGAGATTTAGCCCAGAGTAGGAATGCTCAGTAGCATGAAAAAGAAGGCGTTTCTGCTGTTCTGCCCTAGGTGGGTGCTGTGTGCTAACCACACTGAGCCTGTCAAAGGCTTCCTGGGCCGTTTCTTGAGAAGAAAACTGATTGAAACAGAGATCAGCAGCAGGATGAGAAATGCAGAGCTCGTTAAAATTATTGATTGGATTCCCAAGGTCTGGCAACATCTGAACAAATTCTTGGAGGCTCACAGCTCTTCTGATGTTACTATTGGTAAGTGCTCTGTCTATATGTCCAGGCATATGTAAATGTATGGGTTTTATTTCTTTGTATATCAGGTGCATCCTTGTGTGTTTCCTTGTATCAGGTAAAAAAGGTTTTTTTAAAATCCTACTTTTAGCTGGCAGGATGCTCTGAAGTAAATTGTAGAAGAGGTTTCTAAACTATTTTTTAAAACTTTTCTGAGGAAAAAAAGCAGGACTGCTTTCTAACTCCTGAATACCTACTGTATTATGAAATCTAGTTAATTATTTTCACCTTGAAAGTTTTTCAAGTTGATTCAGAGGATTTTTGAGCTCTCAGGAAGCGCATCATTCAGGTTGGAAAAGACCCTTGGGATCATCGAGTCCAACCACTAACCCTACTCGACAAAGCTCACCCCTAAACCACATCCCCCAACACCACACATAAACGATCTTTAAACAACTTCAGGGATGGTGACTCAACCCCCTCCCTGGGCAGCCTATTCCAATGTCTGACTACTCTTTCTGTGATGAAGTTTTTCAAGATATCCAGTCTAAACCTGCCCTGCTGCAGTTTGAAGCCATTCCCTCTTGTTCTGTCCCTAATTGCCTGTGAGAAGAGACCAGCACCAACCTCTCTACAATGTCCTTTTGGGTAGCTGTAGAGAGTGACGAGATCTCTCCTCAGCCTCCTCTTCTTCAAACTAAACAGCCCGAGCTCCTTCCATCATTCTTTATAAGATTTATTCTCCAGGCCCTTCCACAGCTTCGTTGCCCTCCTCTGCACTCGCTCCTGCACCTCGAGATCTCTCTTGGATTAAGCTGCCCAAAACTGGACACAATATTCATGGTGTGGCCTCATCAGTGCTGACTACAGGGGGACAGCTCACCAGAGAGCTATGTACCTTCTCTCACCCTTGGCTTCTTTCTCCACAGAACTGGAAGTTGTTTGATCCTGTTTTGAAGCATATCATGGTTTGAGTGTAATATGTGAATTTTCCTTTCCAGGTCCACGGCTCTTCCTCTCCTGTCCGATAGATGTAGATGGTTCTAGAGTTTGGTTTACTGACTTGTGGAACTACTCCATCATCCCGTATCTTCTGGAGGCAGTTAGAGAAGGGCTACAGGTGAGCAGACAAAAGTGAAAAATCTGAAGTCTTGAATGGTGTCTGTTTAAAAGTCAAAACTGACTAGCAGCAACATTTTCTGTCCATACAACTTTGCATACTGAATATGGATGTGTCTGTGAAACTGTAACCTGAATCGTGGTTCATTTCAGGCAGAGCTGTTCTCTTCAAACAGTTTTGAAATGTGAGGTGGAAGCACTCAAAGTCCAGATAAGAATTTTTTTAAAGGTTCTTGGATGCCAAACTACTGATGTTTTCAGTGGGTAGAGTTGGACATTCAAATATCTTTCAGTAATTGGCTCCAGAAGCACACCTTAAAATTGCACTGCGCATCTGAGAAACATATTTGTGGTCATTAACTGGAAACATTCGAAGCCGGGTTGGATGGGGCTCTGAGCAACCTGATCTAGTTAAAGATGTCCCTGCTCCCTGCAGGGGGGTGGACTAGATGACCTTTAAAGGTCCCTTCCAGTTTAAACCATTCTATGATTCTCTAACAGTAGCCAGAGTTGTGCTAATTAACAAGGTAATGCTAGAAATGTGTGTTTCTTTTTGGGCTGTTTTCTGTCCCCCACAGCCACCCCTCTGACAACACATCTCTCATGAAATAGCCTGCCAGAAGGGAAGGGTGGAGTGCTGACTTCACTCTGACCTCTGTGGATCTAAACTGAACTATTTTTGTATTTCTGTTTCTCATTTAGAGAACTATTCTGGGTCAAAGACAAGTGAGCCAAATGGATCTTTACAGTAATTGCTCCCATTGGAGATGAGGTTTTTTTGTTTTTCAAAACAGGGATGTGAAAATTAGAGGGCTCTCTAAAGACCCAGTTCTTCCTGCTTGGGGTATTGATAAAGAATGCAACACTAGCAGAACAGGGACCCAGAGTCCCTGTGGCTTCCTGCCACCATCACTCTTACTCCAGCCATTTGTCTCTGGTGCTTTGTGAAGCAACCTGTTCGTTCCTTGGCCCCTTAACTGCTCCCTAGAAAACATCCATGTGAAAGTGATGAACGGGACTGGTTGATGTGGAAGGGAATAGTGAGTTAGTGAATCAGTCTCTCAGCTGCTGAAGGAATGCGATGATTTCATTGCATATTGGATATATGCTGATTTCATATATTGAATTGGGAATTTTACTCACTAGCTAATTCAGAAGTGAGCTGGGATCCACACAGATCCCAGGTAGCAAAGACGTGAGAAATATAAAATGCTCTCCACTTAGCAACCGGCATGCATTGCTGTAAATTTGAGAACAAGACTGCAACAGGAGATCTGGTTTACTGCAGCTGGGAAAATAATACAGCACAGCTGAAGGATGAAGAATATTTGGGTTGTGGAAGAGGCTATTTAAGATTGCTGAGCCTCGTCTAATGGGCACCTCCATGCTGGGCTGAGCCTCGCTCATTCTGCTTCAGACTAAAGCAGATGGTATTTAGGGCAGTTAAACTAAGAAGAAATAGTGATGAGGAAAGTGAGACGGTCTTAGATCGGTCAGAGAGCTGATAAATTTCTTTGTTAGAGCACGAGTTTTCCCCCTGTACATTGTGCAGGAGAGTTCTCTGAATTCAAAATGCCAGGAACCAGCTCCGGTTGCTGCAGGATATTTAGTCTGAGATTTATAAAGTGGAAGTAAAAGTTTTCAAGTTATGCTTTCAAAAGTCATATGGCATTAAGATTAATTTATTCTTTAAGTAAGGCAAACTTAACCAAATATAAGAAGAATACATTGACATTCAGTAACACGGTCTGTTCAACAGAGAAAAAGGTTTTAAAATAGAAAATGTTTTTTAAAAAAAGCTTGCTTGCTTACTTGAAATAGGAACACGAACATAGCCAAATCCTGCTGGTGCTTTTTCTTAGTTGAATACAACGAAATTCCACTGGCTTGAAAACCTTTTGCTATGACATCCATCATTATTGCCTGATGACAGGTCTCATGTTTCCTCCTGCACATTCCACTGACAGCGATTTCCCGTCGACAGCAAGTGCAGATAAGGCAGCTGCTGGTGCGATTCAGATGTCAATATTGTGTATTGACTTTATAGTTAACTTTTTTAAGCGAGGTTATTTTCGGGTCTCCCTTTCCTCAGCCGGTGCCAACAGAAGAACACTGCGGTCTCAAAGGTGGTAATCAACCCCTTCCAAATCAATTGTCCTTAAAATTAACAAGAGCTTTGTGTGTCATTAGGGTAAGGCAAACCCCATTTGTTGGTGTTCAGACCTGCTTGCAAATGTTTCCTGCAACCCAGGACTCCTGTCATACGGTAGGCACTGCCAACCGCTGAGGTGACAGTGATTGACTGATGAGAACGTTTGACGTGGTTTGTTGCTTTTGCAGTTGTACGGGAGGAGAGCACCCTGGGAGGATCCTGCCAAATGGGTCATGGACACCTACCCCTGGGCAGCTACCCCACAGCACCACGAGTGGCCTCCTCTGCTCCAGCTGCGCCCTGAAGACGTGGGCTTTGACGGCTACTCTGTGTCACGGGAAGGCTCGACCAGCAAACAGGTTCCAGTGAGCGATGCTGAAGGAGATCCTTTGGTAAGCACCCATTTTTGAAACTGCACAACTGCTTCATTTCCCGCATTTCCAGAGATTAGAAATGGGAATTAAAAAAAAACCGAAGACAGTTGAGGAGTGATTAAAAGATTTAGAGTCAGAAGGCAATGTTTCTGGGGAAGTCATCAAGTCAGCTTGAGGAATGCATTTGCACAGACAGCCTGTACGATTTTGCAGGAAATAGCGGCAGAAGCTTTTCGGATTCGTTTTTTAGAGGATATTTTGAGGAGTGACAGGGAATGTGTATAATGGTCTTTACTTTTACACTGCGGAATTAAATATGTGATCTTGTTAGACATGTGAACAATACAGTGGAATCGTTTCATTTGGCCTGTTTTGTCACAGTTTTAAAATAGGCTTGTTGCTTTTCTTCACGTGACTTTTAGAGCTGTGTTCTTGACACCAAATGAAAATTGCAATTTTCAAAGAGTATATGAACTGATAATCTCCATGACTGGTGTCTAATTTATGAATCAGAAATACCACACAAGCATGTAGGAAAATGTTAACATGTATTTGTATAGAATGCATAAATTGAGCTTGAAGGTTGCACTAAATACACGTTTTCTTCCAACGGGGAAATAGTTATCGAAGCTGTTTTGCAAACTGAATGCCCTGAAGCTCTTCTGTGAGGGTGTACATTTTTCTGGACAGTTGGGAGTATAAAACAAGTGTTACACTTTTCACTAGCTCATATACCTATACAAACATTAAGCTACGTGTTAGGACATGTAGATTTGCCTCTTTTGGATGATCTGTCTGTGTGTCCATGGGTCAGAGGAAGGAGAGGCTTAGGATGCTGGTAGAGTCCTATCGCGTATGGCTGTGGACTAATTAATCCCTTCCATCTTCTCATTTTCACCTTCAGAGAAAAAGCATACTCCTCGTGACTAAGTTGTGTGCAGCTGTGACATGTTCTACAGTTAAAACTCTTTCCAGAGACTTAATTACCCCAGTTGTCTCTTCATTTCCTTAGTTACCCGCTGGCAAGGTGAATGACACTGTAGCTTTCATGTGGAGTTGATTTTTTTTTTTTAACCTCAGAATACGAATAATCATGAAGTTCTGTGCCTTTATAGATGAACATGCTGATGAGACTGCAAGAAGCCGCCAACTACTCAAGTCCCCAGAGTTACGACAGTGACTCTAACAGCAACAGCCATCACGATGACATCCTCGACTCGTCTCTGGAGTCGACGTTGTGATCGTTCTCAGATAGAAACAGGTTGTTTCCATTATTGTTCTCCCACTTTGCAAGAACCCTGCTCGCAGACTCATGACAAAGATGGCGTTCCTGGGCTGGGATCTCGGTTTTAGAGCTGCAAGAACAAGAAGACACTTGGAGTCAGTCTTGAACCTGGGTGCAGGCAACCCAAGCAACCTTTGTATTGTTTTTCTTTTTGACAATGATGAGAACCGCACTATTCTTTTGTTTTCCTCTGTTTAGTTGCTGTAAGCTCTCATGCCTAAGATACTGAAGATATTAAAAATAATCATTGTTATTAAAAGTTGAAGGGGCAAGGGAGGAACTTCACAGCTATGAAGCAAACAGCTTTGTGCCATGTACTGTCAGGAAGGAGAGGGGAGAGGAGGTTTTTGCCTATGCTGCTTCTGACCAAACACATTTAGGTGAGGGCTGGACTTTTACCGATCAGCTTTGTGGATTAAACTCAGCTTCATATAGTTCTGGTGCTATAACAATATCGCTTGCCTTGGTAATAATACTCAATAAAGGCAAAGCTGCAAAACAGGGAAGCTTGGATAAATATTAAAAAAGATAAAAGAAAAAAAAAAGAAAAAGCGCTGCTCTCCTTGCCAGTCTGAGACCTTGGCTTTCTTTCATTGTGTGTTTATAAAGATATATATATAAATAGGAATATATAAAAATATATATACAGTCTGAACAAATCAGGTTTTTTCAAACACTGTGTAACAATCAGTCCTGCTACAAGTGAAAGATCAGGTAGCCCTTTTCTAGTCAGGATCTGATTCTCTTCCCACTTACATCCACGTAACCATCCCGTTGACTTCAGTGGCATTACACCCAGTTCACTTACACCGAGGAGTTTACTCCCTCCTCCACAGAAGTCAGCGTCAGGGCCGTGCCCCATGAAGTCCTACAGCTCCAGAGGACCTCCGGCAGTGCGCAGGCTGTACTCGGAGGTGAACCCCTGAAAAGGGATTTAATCAGACAGTTGGCTTTTAATTCTTGCCATGAAACATTACAGCTGTTTGTTTTTTTAAAAAACTTTGCGTTTTGTTCAGAGGTTTCGTTCCAATCAGCACAACCAGAAATGGGTTCATTAAAACTCAGCTCTGTGACAGTTCCAGTGCCACTCTGGCGACAACATTTACTTCTATGACTTTCTTTTCAATTGCAAAAAAAAAAATAAATTAGTATTTTAGCAGTATTCAGGTCTGGGGGGGAAAAAAAAAGGCAGGAGGAAGGTATTGCGTCTTTTCAGTTTAGCTGGGCCATGCTTTTGAGTTTTGGCGGAGCTGTGAACCTGGTTTTATTTCTCCTCCTCTCTGAACGCACACACCTACACTATCAGTGTTAAGGCTTGTACTTGTGTTGGGGAACCAGAACACCTCCCAAAGAATTGCACTTTCCTTTTTACGGAAGCAAACGCTTACACCACCATCACCACAGCGTCAGCTGGACCTCAGCAAAAACTCCTCAGTATTGGTTTGTACTCGCCTTTCCAGCTATCTTTTGGTGCTGACTTTTAAAGCGATGCCTTATTTTGTACTAATTGTGTTTGATTAAATTAGTGCTGTATATTATGGGATTTTATTTAAAGAAACAGGGCTAAAGTCATCTCTTGGAATATCATAAGTTGCTGTGAATATTTGTTTGTATGAGATACTAGAATTTGTTTAAATGTGACAAAAAAGGAGGGAAATGAGAGAACTTTTCAGGTTCATATCAATCTGCAGCTAATAAATCACTGAAGAGCTGTTTTATCCACGCAGGAGAAAAAAAAAGCTTTTCAACTATAGTAAATGCTGTCATTAATAAATTACAGGAATATGCTGGGTTTTCAATGTATGGAAAGAAAACTTTTTAGAAACACTTTTTTTAAGAGCTTGTGGATTTAAAATAATATAACAGACAAGTTCATGCTTCTGTGACTTAGCTTGAGAGGATCGTTTTATTATACCTCATGACTTTCTGTAACATAACTGTACTTTGTCTTACTGAGCTGGTCTTGAACCAGCTCCTGTTACAACTTTTAAGTGCTGATGACTTTTTTTTTTAAAAAAAAAAAAGAAAAATTACTGTAAAAGAAAAATTTAAATATTTTAATGCTGGGGGGGAAGAGCTTGGTGTAGTTACCGTTCTAACCTTATGAGCTCTATTTCACTGAATGAAATACCAAGGGTTACTCAGCCAATGTTCCTAATCTAGTTCTTGGTACTGTAAAAATGGAATAAATTTGTATGGAATCAAATACATAGCATGCTGATGACGAGCTTAAGAGAGGTTTAAGTTTTCCAGTAGTCCTGACAATTCTGCTTCCCAGCACTGACTTTACCTGCTACTACTGTGAATTTTGGTACTGAATCCCCGAACTGAATCCATGCAGATAGAGCGTGTGCCTGTAAAAAAATCCAGTTGCAGGGCTAGGACTTTAAACGGACTTAATATCCTAGGCAAGGTCTCAGTTTACCTTTAACTGAGTGCTAGTAAGACGTGTTCAAAATGGTGTTTTATTTGTGGGGAATGGGGTATTCTGTTTTTTCTCATTTTTAATCCTGTGCTTATGCTCAGGAAGGAATTTCTGTTCGCTCTAATTTTTTATTGACACTTAGCTTGGATTACGGTGAGAGAGGCAATTTTGAGTAGACTAGTCATTTTAAGCATCGCAATATTCAGTGTCTTTTCTGAAACTTCGGGAAGCAGGGTTACCTGTTGTGCACACATCTTAGTTTTTATCAAGACTTTTCATAGATTAAGTCTTTCTTTAAGTGACTTTGTTCTCATTTAAGGCTTTTTCAGAACACTTCCTTTTTTTAGTTGTTTTTGCCTTTTTTCCTTACAATGTTGACTTGTTTAAAAAAATACCAACAAGAAAGAAATGCAAGATTCTATGCAACATTCATTGAGTTCTAAGTTCAAAATATAAACCATTTTCTTTCCTTCAGAACTGCCAAGAATTATACAGGCCATAAATGAGATGTGGTTTATTTGGGGAAGGGAGGGAAGGGGGTTGGTTAGCCTTTTTGTACATTTTGGAAGAAGTAAACTGCTATTTCATTGTTGATGCTTAACTTCGATATTATGTGTATGAAATCTTGTCTAAATGTGGCAATTTTCTTTCAAGAAAAAAATACAAAAAGCAAAAAAAACTTTCTTTGTCGATATTAAATGGAAGGTTGCTGTTTTGATCTAGTCATTTCCAGTGGAACAGTTTATGAAATATGTTCTATAAGATGTACATTTTTTCATTGTAACATAGAAATGTAAATATTTGATTAAAAGTGCTGCATTTTGATGAATTTTTTCTAGCCATTTTTAAAGAGAAAAACTAGGAATTGAGTATTTTGTGTACGTTTATGATGTTTTCCATTTGCTCCTCTCCCTATTTAATTTTCAGTTCTCATTTAGGATTGGAATTTGTGAATGGTCTGTTTGAGATCATGCCTCCCCCTTTCTCACCCTGCCCGTTTCTCCCCCTTCCCTGCCCCTGTGTCATGGAGAATAAAGCTGATGATTGTACCAGTCTTAAATTATTCATGATTCAATAAAATTGATGCTTATTTATTCAGATTTATGGCTTCCCAGAAGCTTTTGTCCCTTCTTAATATTTCCAGGTGTTTCATTTGAAGGTTGTGGGGTTCACTGCTTGTTTTCATTGGCTTCTTCTAAATACTTCTGAAAAGATGCCAACAGCCCTTACCCACACCTGGGAGGACCGTACCGGTATGATTCTCTCCCATAGCTTGTGTTTGCATTTAGGATCCATCAAGATCCTCTGAAGACAAGACTGGTCTGTCCATGATGATTGTCTGTAGTGTCTCTCCATAAAGCTGCTGCTTCCAGAGAAGTCCCCGTTGGTCACAAGGGTTGCAGGTGGCAGGCTCTGTTGGCCTCATCCTGCTCTGCACAATAAACTTCACGGAATCATGGAATGGTTTGGGTCAGAAGGGATCTTTAAAGGTTATCTAGTTCAACCCCCCTGCAATGAACAGGGACATAGAATCATAGAATGGCCTAGGCTGGAAGGGACCTTAGAGCTCATCTAGTCCAACCTCCCAGCCGTGGGCAGGGATGCCTCTCAACTAGGCCTCAAGGCCTCGTCCAGCCTGGCCTTGAACACCTCAAGCCAGCCGGGCCTTGAACCCCTCAGGGGAGGAGCCAGCCACAACTTCTCTGGACAATTTATTCCAGAGTTTTGCCACCCTTGGACTGAAGAATTTTTTCCTAAGATCCAATCTAAATCTGTTTAACTCAACTCCATTTCCCCTTGTCCTCCCCAGCCTTCCTGTAAGTTCCCTTCAGGCACTGAAGGCAGTGATAAGGTTCCCCCGGCATCTTTTCAAAATGGAACAATCCCAGCTCCCGCAGCCTGTCCTCATAGCAGAGGTGCTCCAGCCCCTGGGTCATCTTTGTGGCCTCCTCTGAACTTGTTTCAACAGATCTCTGTCCCTCTTACGGGTGGGGACACCGGAACTGGACACATTAGATCAAGTTGCAGAGAGTCTTGTCCAACCTGGCCTTGAATGGGGCATCTGCAACCTTTCTGGGTGACCTACACGTTCTACGCATTATTACCCCTTTGATAGAAACCCTATTATTACACACTAATAAACTTACTTTGTTCAGTAAGAACATATGGAGATCTAGTCTCCTCTCTTTCAAATAAATAACCTGCTCTAACTTTATTAAAAAAAAAGGTACTTTCTTTTCAGAAAGGATAAATCCAAACCCCTCTGCACAGTGTGAGGGATAATTCTAAACTGTAGTAATGTTTCTCCTGGAGACTATTTTCATATTTCTGCTTTTATGACAGTTTCTTGTAGTTATCTTGTTCTTTACTCACTGATTTAAACTGTCAGTGTTGGTAGGACAGATGCACCTATATCAAAGCGAAAAGATTGAAAGAGAAGAAATTCCACTGAAAAATTAATTATTTTCAGTCAAGTTATTTTAATCTAAAAATACTCTTCATTTTAATAACATGGCAATGCAGACTGTAACTTGGAGCTGATCTTCTGTATTGTGGGTTTCTTCTGTCCCTCCACAGAAGTTTTTCCAGAGACAGAATAGTTTTGGACATGCTCAAGCAGCTGCTTCTGTAAACTTCCTTTGGTTCACAGAACTGAGTGGTTTAGAATTGCCCTGGAAAACACTCCAGCCCTGATCTTGGACAATGTTTGAAGCAATGCTGGACCAGCACCAAAATGCTTAATATCTCCCAGGAACTCTTCTTCCCTTTCTTTTCTTTTTTGGCTGCCCCATCCCTTCCCCATGTTCTTCTATACTTCTTTTTTCCCTTTACCTCATCTTCTCTTTAACCTTCTTTGCTTTTCTTTTTCCAACATCCTATTTCATTCCTATATCCTTCCTGGGCCCCCCTCACCATTCCTCAGGGCCCTTGGAGTGGTGCTGACTTCCTTCCTGCAACAGAAAGGGAAATCTCCTGGACTCATTTTATTAACTCAGTCCACAGCCTGTGACATATAATTAAACCCTTTGCTTTCCAACAACCTTTTCCACTGGTCTCTTGAAGGTCACATCAAGAGCCAGAGTGGAAAAACCTCATGATACCC